AAAGTAGATTAACTTCTTAATTAATATATATATATAGTAAATTGTTATTTTATTAGTTTATATTTTAATTGAATTTAGAAGCCATATATAATTGATGACAGTGTGGATATAGGTAGTAAAACCATTTGGAAGCTCTAGCTATACGAATGTGATAGATAACTATCTTACTAAGTTTTACTGGCTTATATTCTTTATATTGCCTTTATCTTCTAGCTTATTATAAGATTATTAATTCTAAATTCTTTTAATATATATAATTATAATTTAATATTTTACTAGCCTATATATTAATTTTTATTTTAATTTATATTTTAATAATTTGATTTATAAAAATTTATAAATTTTAAATTATTTTTACTAATTTATTAATTTTTAATTATAGATTTTATTTAATTATTTAAAAATTTTAAGATGCTACCAAAATGTAAAACTTCTCCTACTCCTCCGCATATTGCTAATGATGATAATTATAAAGAACCTTTACTATCAGAAACAAAAGCTGAAAAAACTAGAAGATTAGATAGAAAAAGAAAAGCTGTTACCAAATAGTATAAAGAAAATCCTAATTCAATAATTGAAGCATCTATATCTATATCTGCAATATCAATTCCAATAACAACAATAGCAGCAACAACTGTAGTAGCAAGCACTTCAACACCAATACCTACAACAATATTTGTAACAACATCTACACCAATATTTGCAATACTACTTGCAGTAACAACTACAACAACACTTGCAACAATACTTACAACAATATCTGCACCAATATTAACAACTGATTCTATAATAATATTACCAACAACAACACCATCTCCAGCAAGTTTAGAATTAGTATCAACATCAGCATTAAATAGATTGCAATCATTTATTTCAACAATATTATCAACAGTATTTACTGAATCAACAACCTTAGAATCAACAAATTTACAACAAAAAGAATTAAATCATTTATGACAACAAGCATATTGACAAAATTTACCAGTACAACAGCAAAATCAAAGAAGAGAATTAGATAAATATCAGCATAGAAATAGTAAATTACAACAAAATAGTCAATTTAGAAATATTGCAAGATGTAGTTTGGATGATTTTAATATTGAATTAGAAGATGGCTTTGATCTTTCTATTTGGCAATATAAGCTTAGTAATTTGAATATCAGATATAATTATTGTCAAGCTTTAAAGTAGAAAATTAAATCACTAGGATTTTGCTGCCTTAATGGTAAAATTAAATTAGCATTACTTGAACCACCTCCACTAGCTATATCACAGTTATTAACTAGATTTGATATTACTACTGGTGAGAGATTTGTTCAAAATATAAGGTTCTATAATTCAGCTTTTGCTTTTACATCTTTAGGTATAACTACAGATCGTAGCATTTTTGAAATAGGTAAACTTTATATTTTTAGAATTCAAGAAGCTTTATATTATAATATAGGTTCTTTAATATCACCAAGTGGGCAGCCTAAATTTGCACAAATTTATTTCTATGATGGTAATTTTGATACCCAGTTTGTATTAAAAAATAAAGCATCTCCAAATTTAAATTTGGATATGATGAGATCTTTACAAACTGAACTTGATCATATTAATCCTTTTGTTCAAATATTTCAAAGTGCTAGATGGCAGACTACAAGAAATCTTGCTTTAAAATTAAAATTTTCTAATGTATCTTCTCAAGATATGAGAAATTATAATTTACCAGTTGCTTCTGAAATTGCTGCTATAATTACTGAAGATGATACAATTAATTCAGGTAGAGATATTATTTTTACTACGCAACAGGGTTCTTTGCGACATATCTCAAAATTACATGGTACTTATGATCCTTTACAGTATTCACTTCTTTTTCCAAGAGGAGAGTATGGATAGCATACTGGAATTATGTATTTAACTATAACTGATCAGAGTTCTAATGCTAATGATAATTTAAATTTTAATTATAATCAATTAAATATTTTACTATTAGATCCTACTGATTTCCAGCAACAACGAAAACATGTAACAATTAGAGAATTTGCATGTCATAGATTACAAATAAGAGATCCTAATAGCATTTTACATCTTGCTGGTCACTTATTTCAGCAATATATCATTGACCAGTATGCAAAATAGGAACAAAATTATTTAAGGTGGTTTAAAAATAATCAACCTCAATTACGAGTTGAATATTATAAAGGATTAGAAGATATCATTAATAATGATGAAGCTAATCCTCTTGAAATTGGGAAAAAAATAAT